ACCCTCCCCCACCTTCCTTCCCCCTGCAGATTTAAATATGTCCATGTCATTCTACTTTGATCCTTCTCTCTAAAGCCCAAACCCCCCTCAACCCCCCCTTTCCCCCTCTGACTAAGTTTTTTAAAAACCCACACCTTCTCCTAATTTCCACACTCCGTTTTTGATTTTTACACCACACTTTCCCCTTTTGACGGGATATCTCCACTGCCTCCAACCCGGGCCTCCTCGCTGCTGCATTCCAACCCAAGTTTCACACCCATGAAAGGTGTTGGTACTATGTATTTTATCATTCCCTTCTTTGTCCGTAATAACGTTTTTTTTGCTCCACTATACCGAAAAGCACCACTCCCCTTTTTTCCCTTATAAATTTCTTGATTAAACCTCACCCTTTCATAATCCATTCCACCAACACGTCAAACCCCAAATTATTGAAAACATTCATTTTCTTCAACCCCTTTCCCCCCCAATTTTGTATCCAATTTTTTTTTTATCAAAATCATTTGATACCCTCTTCCCCTTTACTCTTTTCTGTGTTCACTTTCAATTTCTACCTTTATACACACCCCCAAACTCCCCGCAAAACCTTTGCAATTTTTTTAGAATCTCCCAAACACAGTTCATCAGAAAAAAGAAGTGTGTAAATTTCCCCCATTTTGTATTTGATTCCCCAAAAATTTAATCCCAGCCCCCCCGAACACCCTAGATTATTTCTTTTACAACCCCATCATAAAATTTTAAACAACCATAGTGACTTTACACATCCCTGTCAAAGCCCTACTTTACTGGGAAATTTAAAATAAATAAAAATTAAAATAAATTGAATATAATTAAATTAAATTAAAAATGTAAAATCTCTCGATATGAACGTAATCATAATAAATTAAAATGCACAAAATGCAACCACTTAAGCATGTTTAATGGGAATTTTTTTTGATTCTGGGCCCTTGGTCACCCCAAGTGGTGACCTGGTCTTAGACCAAAGATTATTAAGGCAAAGGAAACATTTTAAAGGTGGGCTGTTTGAATGTGTGTTGGGTTGCATGGTGTAAGAAAAAATTGATTGTGATGTTATGAATGAAAAGAAGATGGATGCCCTAATAAAAAAAAACAGATTTAAAGGGGGCAAAAGAATTTTAGTGAGGAGGTGTAAAAAGAGATTAGGCAGGTGTATCTGAGAGAATTTGGTTGAGAAAGGAATAGCGGTAATATTAAAAAGTAAGTTTTGTAAGGAAAATGAGTGAATTAAGTATATAAAAATTAAACTTATGCAGCTTAAAAATGGGTGGGATATGAAAAGAGGTTAAGTTGTTTTATGCACCCAGGTAAGGGGAGTGAGGAAGGGGGGGGTATTTTGGGAGATGTTGGTGTTTGGGGAGTTTTGAACCAAGTGAAAAAAATGTTGGGGGGGAGATACCTTCAGCTAAATGGGAGAAATGTTGGTAGGGTGTGAAAGGGAAATTTTGGGGGCAAGGTAAATAATGATACAGGGCCCTAAATGAGCTATTATTGAAGAGGTTGTTTTTTTAAGAATAAGGAAAATAAATATGCAAGATAAAATATGGGGCTGATGGCAACATTTGTTGGATGTGGTTAGTAGAAAAAAGGGTTTGATGGTTAATTTTGGGATGTGCATATTTTTAGAAGAGAAACAGTGATTTGATTTGCTGTTGGAGTTGAGCAAGGTGCTTTTATGAAGGGATCAGGGAAACCAGTTGGCCAGACTTGAGCCAGGAGGTGGGAAGTACAGTCCCCTGTACTCTGTAAGTGGGTGGGGACGTTGTATTTGGAGGAGTTGAACGAATGTCGGCCCCCTTTCTGAAAAGGCAGTGATTGAGTGAAGACGTAAAAAGTGTCTTCTTTTTTGTTGGATCATTTTCCCTTTGGGGGGGGAAACAGTTTGCAGTGTTAAAAAAGCACTATTTTAAAATTAAGTCCAGAATTTTAATACAGTTCTTGTATTAATAATAATATTAATTATAAAAGCTTTTCATATTAATTTATTTTGCCTATGAATTTAATATAATTTATGATTCCAATGCCCATTTAATACTATGCATCATAGAAAATGTGACTAATGGGAAATATGTATATACGTATGTACATTGTACTATACTTTAATGCACATATAATTATTTGTTGTTTTTTCATTTCCAGGTGATGGAGTATCTTATTGGTGGAGACTTAAAGTCCCTCCTGACTATATATGGCTATTTTGATGAGCCGATGGCTACATTTTATGCTGCAGAGTTACTTTACCCCTGACTACTTGCTTGGTAATGGTTTGTAAAAATTTATTTGACGATAAAAAAAAGTTCTTGTACTCAAATTTTGAAGACTCACATCCCTCCCTTCATCCCATATATGTGATTTTTTTATCCCTAGTTTTGTATTTATTACGTATCGGGTTTTGGTGGAAAAAGATTTAAAAAATTGGTAATTACATTTACCGGATCTATAAAAATGCTTTGGTCCCAAATCAATTACTCATCGGATTCTTTTGTGAAACATGATATAACATCATACAACCATAGAAAAGTTTTAGAAATAAATAAAAAATATGAAAATAGAAAAAAATTGAAAACAGTAAACCTATCAGAGAAATTGGATGATTTATTTCAAAATGTTTTCCCCGTATTAAAAAAAAATATTTACTTCATATTTGTTTTGGCCATAACATGAAAAAGCTGCAGTAACCTCTGAAGCACTAAGATATATAAAATAATGAAAAAGGAAATGGGGGTGCCATACCGTTAAAAAGAGGGGGTATTTGTTGTACCGTGCTGCACCACCAGGTGGGGAGTGGCTGGATGTTCAACCTTTGTGGTTTGTCAGCTGAAATTTTTACAAGTCTGTTAAAATCCCCCTAGTAACAGTCTCGGAATGCTAGACGAAAGGATCAGTACACAAGTGTAAGTAAAGATGATGATATTTTAAATGTTGATAAAAAAAAAAACATGGTAACTTTAGGAAAAATTTAAGGGGGATTGTACTTCACAATGGATAAACACAAAAATTTTTTTATTCTCACTCAATCCCCTCTAAACCATAACAAAGCTGGTCAGTTATGTTTAATGAATTTGTTCTAACTGTTTTTATTATTTGATCACTTACCCCTGTGTTGAGGGAAAAGAAAAATGAGTTAGTTTCATTTTTTATTATGTTTGCCTCTTCTGTCAGCAAGAAACACAGGACCTCCCCTACTATTTCCTATCGTTTATTTTTCTCTGTTTTTTACTTTGAGCGGGTTTATCAAGGGTTTAGACCCCCACACTATATTTATTAGTTTTTAATTTTCAGCCATGGGATAGTTTAAGAGATGTGACCAGCAACCTCCCCCTAACAACAAGGGCATCTCAAACTCACGATTTTGGGGCTAAGCAAAATTACTCTTCACAAAGGGGAATGAAAGTATTTTTTTGATTTTTTGCCTTCCAAAATTTTCACGTTTGTTTTTGGGGATGGTACTGTGTACAGGAAAAAAAAGTAATGTTTTTCCCGATACCCGTATTAATAATTTTATTTCTATCAAGAAATGTTAGGTTAAAAAAACACCCACCTCCCACTTACGACCCGCTCGACTTTCGACCCTGTTTTTTTTTTTCCAAATTTCGGGGGAATAAAAAAACTTTTGTGTTGTACACAGTTTTTTTTCCTAAAACCCACAGTATAAAATACAGTACTAGCAATAAAAAGTAAAGTAAAACATGAAATACCCAAAAAAAAACAAAAAATAAAAATCATTACAAAAATTTTTGGGTGTTTATATTAGTAGTAAATTTTTGACTTAGGGCCTTTCGACTTACGACCGGTTTTTCAAACCCAACTCGGTCGTAAGTCGGTGGGGAGGTGTACTCGTTTTTTCAATGAAAATAATTTGCATTGTTTTCTCTTCTAGAAAGAGTACCATGCTCAAAAATGCTTTACACTATACATTTCCCTTTTTTAAACCCAAATTTAACCCCACAGGTCCGTCCTGTAGATTAAGGTTACGTTTTAGTGTCCAAACCGTGATTACCCCAAAATTCAGCCCGTCAAATTTAGCGCGAAAGCATCTTAGGCCCACATGTGAGAGAAAGGGGCTGCGTGGGGGGTGTGCGCCATAAACAAAAAATCTTGGGGCCCGCATAGCATTGTGGGAACGCCGGCTCAGTTACCCTTGTTCACCATGCCTCGTCGCAAGTCAGCTCTCACTCCCCCCGGAAAATTGGGAATCTCCTTCTTCCTACCCTGATAGTTCTGACACGAGGGAAGTGGAAATGAAGACGAATTCTACGGCTTTGATCAGTTAGTGACCGAAAAGAATGACCAGGATATCGATAATAGTGCAGAAAACCCTGACGATCCTCAACTCTACCTCTGGTGTGGGCACTCGTGGCTCACGGTGGGTTGTTCCTCAACGCAAGAGAAAGCTATATTTTCGCGTGCCAGGCCTCTGACTTCAGTAATGAATGATGATAGTGACGTGGATTGTGATTTTATTGCACTCAACGATCTTTTCGAGTAGTGATAGTGGGAATCATATTCACCAGTGAAGCGTCGGTATGTTCGCCGCCGCATGCGCTGGGGTAGTGTACCCTATGCTGTGCCCAGGGACGGAGTACAATCCCGGAGTAATCCGTGGCCCTAAAACCATTTTAGGTAGTGATAGTGGGATGATGTGGCTACACTTGGCATGGATAGACCACAGGCATCAGGGGATGGTGGTAGTGGTGAGGGTAGTGGCACCCCATGCGTGACTCACCAGCCCACGCTGGGACCCAGGGGGGGCTGACTTCTTTCAGTTCAAGGACAAAGGGGAGCGTCAGCCACCAGCCCCCACAAACCACAACCCCCCGCACAACCAGCCTATAAATGTCCAATATCCACCAGCAAACCGTATGTGGGATTGGCAGCAAAATCCAATTTTGTTCCCAAGCCTCACCACTTTGATGACTCTCAAAGTGGAATTCTACCTACTTGTCCCCTTGGAACCACGGCCAATGAACTGGAATTCTTTGAATTATTCTTTGACCACATTGATTTAAACTATTGTCAGGGAAAGTAATAAGATTTTGAGTACACCATGGAAAAATCCGATCAATACCACAGTCAAGACTACACAGGTGGAAAGAGATGACTGTTGCAGAAATGTATTTGCTTTTTGCAACAATAATGCTTATGCCTCATGTCTATAAGCATAATATAAAAGCATACTGGTCCACAGATCAGCTAATTTCTACCCCGGTCTTCAGTGAAATCGTACCAGTGAACAGGTTTTATCTTACTCTTACGTATGTTGCACTTCCTGACAAAACCAGGCCTGACAGAAGTGACAGGTTATACAAGATTAGAAATGTTTTCATGTATCTCAAATTAAAATTTCCCAGCAATATACTTTTATCCATTCAAGAATCTTGTAATTGAAAAGTCTTTGATTTTGTTCAAAGGTAGACTGTCATTCAAGCAGTATATACCGAGCAAGAGGAAACGCTTTGGTATAAAACTGTTTGTACTCTGTGACTGTGACAGTGGCCTGGTTTTGGATATTGTTGTATACAGGGGAATAAAACATTGAAAGATACCAAGATGTTTTTTGGGTATCTCAGGTGACGTAGTGAGAAACATGATGGCACCTTATCTTGGTAAGGGGCATACATTATATACCGATAACTGGTACACAAGCCCATTACTCATGATTTCATGCGAGTGAACAAGACAGATGTGTGTGGCACAGTGCGTTCTAATTGTAAACATATGCCCAGGCTCAACGCAGGTGCTCGTGGTGATGACGTGCAGGTGTTACTGCCAATGACATCAGCAAATTACGTGGCATGACAAACGAGATTTCACATTGTTAAAAACCATTCCCAAATGAAAATGCAAGACAGTGGCAAAGTTGATCGAGTGACTAATGAACGTAATTTGAAAACCAGTGACCCGTGATAGATTATACAAAAAAACATGCGCCCTTTGGGTTTACAAATGTGACATGCAGATTTGGTTTTTGTTGACTGTGTTCGTAAGAGTTACAAGTGGTACATGAAACTTTCTTCCATCTCATGGACATTTCTATGCTCAATGCATATAATATTGTACCAAATAAAGACTGGCAACAGACCACCGTATGGTGAATTTTGTTTTTTCTGTGTCAGACAACTCATAATGAAGTACCAGGGAAGAACACCTGCTATACAACAAGGTCCCTCGAATTACTCAGGATATACCCAAGCGTTTGAGGAGGGAAAGTGATCATTTCATAATACAAGCTTCCTTCAAATCAGAAGAAATTTTCTCAAGAAGAGAAAGCATCATCTGTGCACAAACAAAACGACGGCAACAAGACGCAAAGACACTTTGGTTTATGTGTGAGGAATGTAGGTGCCTCTGTGCATGTTGCCTTGTTTTCAAGGGGTTCCACAAGCTCCAGCAGTTCTAAAACCATGTCCAGTGATTGTAAATATGTAAATAATGATAGAACATTAGTATTATACAAGATTTGTGCATGTTTATTGTAATAAACAACAGTGTAAACAATAATATGTAACTTTATGCGGGTTTTTGTGTTCAAACAGTGAGTTTTATATATATACATTAAAATACAGTATTGGTCTCTCAGGCCCAAATGTTAGTAGGAATAGAAAAAAATTGGAAAAGAAAAAAAAAACTTAAAAAACCGCTAAATAATGTAATGCGCGTATGTGGAATTTCCGATGTTGCCCGCCACCCCGTCATTTTGACAAACTTCTTAGCACTGTAACTCGGTAAGTACTGATCAGAATTTTTTTTTTGTCTTATTACCTTCACAAAAATATGCTCTTTAATTCTTTAAGAAAAAAATTTTTTTTTTTTTTTTTTTTTCAAAATTTTCTTGGACACTGGAGCACACTTCAGATTTGGCCTTGGACCCTGAAGGGTTAAAGTGCTTGTGGTTCTGAGAATACACAAACACTCATTTTGTCATGTCTGTTTTTTCCAGTGAACTAAGACCACCACTATCATCTATGCCATCCAATATGAATAAGCTTTCCTGTGTCAGCATGATTATATTTTCTCAGCATTACATGTTTGCCTGATCTTTCTTCTTTCAACAAACTGGCCATATCCCGCCGAGGTAGGGTGGCCCAAAAGAAAAACAAAGTTTCTCTTTTAAAATTAGTAATTTATACAGGAGAAGGGTTACTAGCCTCTTGCTCCCTGGCTTTTAGTCGCCTCTTATAACACGCATGTGCTTTTGGGGGAAGAATTCTGTTACACTTCCCCATGGAGATAAC